ATATATGAAAAATATATGAAAATGTATGTGGGTACTCAAATGAAAGCTCTTAATGAGTTTAACATTGGAATGAGTTTACTTATACCTTTAAAAATGTTAATAATTAAAAAATGACCTTGTATCTGGTGAACTATTGATGTTTTTAAAGATATAAACTCATCCCGATGTTACACTCATCAAGACCTTTCATTTGAGTACCCACATCAATTTTTCATATATTTATATATATTATATATATGTATATATGAAAAATATATCAAAATGCATATGGGTACTCAAATGAAAGCTCTTGATGAGTGTAACATCGGGATGAGCTTATATCTTTAAAAACGTCAATAGTTAAAAAACTACAGTGCAATTTAACAAAAGTCATTAATTAATAAAGCAAAATTTTATTTATTTATAATTCACAAGTCACGGCAGCCACATAGTGACTGCAAGGTTGCTAGTTTAAGATTATTAATAACTGACAAGAGTTACCATGTAAAAAGGACTCCCCAAAACAGATCCAAAGCATCCAGATATTCCGGATATCAATATTGTTCTCGATACTATTGTTTGTCCATTTTCATCAACAGTAATTCCACGAGAGCGAGCCGATTTATAGACTCCCACTTTAATTCCATTAAGTACAGCTTGAAATGCCAAAGCCGATCGGATTCCTGATTGCAATCCAGCGATTCCTTCGTGTGAAGCTATCACATAAGCTGCGTGAAATGTACTTTTGTAAAGCGGTATATATGTTCCTTGGCGTAACAATTCACCCTGCATTTGAAGCCGCACTTTAATCACGTCGATCGGATTCGTGAATATTCCTGCGCCCATCGCAGCCGTCGCTCCAATTAAATATTCCACTAGTACTCTGCAACAAAATAATTACTATAATTATTTAAGCACTTGTTGAAAATTCCCGCCAAGCGCATGCGATTTATGCAATTGCACTTTGTATGTGTATTTACATACATGTTGCATGTAACTATTTCATTATATGATCCAATTGATATAATTACAAAATGTAATTAAAAATTTTACATTAAAATTTGTAGAATAAAACACTAAAATTTGTAATACTTACGGTTTCTTTATTTCTTTTCTATTTTTAGACATTTTAAAATAACTAAATCAACTAAACATTTTTTTTATACACTTTATATTAAATTAAATTAATTGAGTAAGCTTACAATCGTTATTTCATAATAAAATTACAATAAAACATTTTTTATTGTTGTAATTTTTTTTAATTATTTCATCAATGACGAATTATATATTTATATTTGCCAAATAAACTTTAAAACAAATAATAGAACTTGTGCCGAAATATAAATAGTGATTACGCACGTGATTTAACTCTACCCTAACTCAAATGATAAAATCACTTATTATTTATAAAAAAAAAAAAAATATTAATATTGTTATCATTACTTGAAATTTTTTTTTTCTTAAACTATTTATTGTCAAATTAGTTACTTTTACTGGTAAATTGAAATAAATAAATTAATTATTAAATACTCTTTTCTATTTCTATTATTAAATATTATAAATAATTTAATCCCTGAATAAAACTAAAGAGTTATAGTAAACTAAAATTTTTCAGTGAGTAAAGGTATACTTTTTTTAGCGATTAGCTCATCATAAATCCGCTCTAGATGTTCATAAAAACATAAACACAAGACAGTATGTGGAGCAATCCTCATCCACGTAGGAAACGTTCCTTTATATAATCCATATAATCCTTCAGTGCGACTTATTTTAATTAATGCATCTAGAAAATTTTTATACAATATTCCTTGTCCTTTAGAATCGGAACCTGTAAAGTAAATAAACATTTTATGTAATTTTAAGCAGAAAAAAATTAAATAAAAAAACAATTATTTTTTAAATAATTACCTTGATTATAAAGTCTCGTAGCGACTACATCAAATGGTTGCATTGTCAGTGCAACCGAACTACCACCAATAACTGCTGAGCAAAATGTTAACATCAAAGGATGTCCATTAAATATCTGAAAATTTATTTTTATAATAATAATAATTATTTTATGTTTTTTTTTTTAGACTACAAATTACAAATGACAAATAGGAGCTTTTAATATAAACTCACACTAAAAGTTTTAAGCCAATCTCCAACTAAACTAAATGCTGTTAACTGAGTAGCAGATCCAACAAATACCCGGGGAATATTTGCGTACCAACGTTGATAAAGTCCAGCAAATCCAGCTTCTCTCCAAAGTAACTGAAACGCTGACCATTCACTTGCATGACCGTGTTGAAACCCAACAGCTATTGAAGTTTCAGCTGTCTGAGCTTGCATCTGTGTCTTTACCTACAATACAATAAATAGTAAGTTTTTAAATATTAATAGCAAAGTTGTCTTTTCCCTAAATAATAACTTACCAAGTAAAATGGACTTCCTAAAACGGCACCAACGCACCCTGCTAATCCACTGACTAACGCGGTGCTCACAATATTCGTCTGTCCATCCTCGTTTACAGTGATTCCATAAGTACGTGATATTTTGTAAGACCCTAATCTAATGCCATTGAGGACAACTTGAAACGCCAGAGCTGAAGCTATTCCTGACTGCAATCCCCGAATCCCTTCGTGCTTTACTATCATGTACCCGGCATGAAAGGTGTTTTTGTAATACTTTTTATAAGATCCTCGGGCCTCTAACTCTCCTTGAAGTTGAAGTCTTATTTTAATTACATCTATCGGGTTGGTGAAAATTCCAGCCCCGACTGCTGACGTCGCTCCCAAAACAAATTCTGCACCAAGTCTGAAAATTATACATATAATTATTTTATCAAACGAAAATTAGTTGACGTTTAAAAATTTTTTATTTTTTTCATCAATTAAATTACAAGTAAAAAATAGTTAAAAAAAATTGTAGGCATAATTTTTCAAACTTTCTGCACATGAAATTTTTTCCTTTAATTATTTTTTAATAATTTTTTCAATAAAAGAATTTATTAAAATTTTCAAATTTCAGCTAATTTAATTTTTATATTTAAATTTATTTTTTATTCCCGCCAATGACATTGCATACTTAAGAGAAAAACATCAATGAAATTTCTATCATCACATGATGATTGCGTAATATTACGCTTTAATACTCGTTTGTGTCTATATTCTATTATAAACGCAGTAAGTAAACAAAATAGCTGATTACCAATTTTAAATTTCAAATTCAATAATAAATTAAAAAAAAAAAAGTAACTGTGCTACTTACGGTTTATTTTTTATTTTCTCTGTCATTTTGCTCAGATGTTATTGTATAAATTCATAAAGCACGTGTGTAGTCTACAGATGTTGACAACTGAATAAAATATGTATTTATTGTGATGACGTACAAGATTTTTTTTATTATTATTTTCTCCTCTCAATTTATTTTTATCGACATCACCAATCAAATAATAACAATAATAATAATAATAATAATAATAATAATAATAAATTACATTACGTGAAGATCATTTTAAGAATAAAATAATAAATTTTGTAAGATATATTTTATTAGTTTATAAATATAGGCCAAATACTGAAATGCGTATAATTCGCAACTGCAAGTTAAAATTGAATTCTCGAATGTATTACACGTATTATTAGCATAAAGTTAAGAGGGAGGAGAAAGATAATAATTAAGAGGAAAAATATTTAAAATTACAACGCTATCGTTTCTTTTTTTTTAATAAACAATATTAATAATCAATTAATTAAATATTTTAAAATATAAATTTGTATAAAAAATTAATTGTCTTATTTATTTTATCAGTCATTTTTAGTGAGCTCCTGATAAAGGAGCTTTCGATACGGCGGCAATCTCATCTTTAAATTGCGCTATTGTTTCTTTAGCCAGTGTCAATTTTTCTTTATACTCAATAACCTCTTGACGAATTTTATTGCGCGCCTCGGCAATAGCTTTCAATGTACTCTGTTTTTTAGCTTCAACTAAAATTATCAGAAAGAAAAATCACAATTGATTACTCCAACATTTGAATTAATAAAAAATAAATAAAATTGAGTGATAATTACAATCAGTTTCATGTTTCCATGGTCCATGGGTCATCAGCCTTGTAGTGCTGAGCAGATGTTGCATCAGCTGTGTGGGATCTTGAAATACTATTTCTTCATAAAATTCAGACACTAAATTTTTTTTACCATTCTGTGCTTCTGGTGGCGATTGAAATAGCTTTAATATGTGATAAATAGTGACCTAAAAAAAATTTCTCAAATTAATATTAGTAAAAAATAGCTCAATCAGAAATTAAGGGGGGAAATATATGTAGAAGGTAGTTTTCATTGATTTATTTAATCTATAAAAAATTAATATTATTTATTGAAACTATCAGGATATTTTATAGATATATTTGAATGTATTATAATCGTAAATATTTATTATGATTATTTTTTTAATTGATTTTAATTGTTTTTTTTTTTTTTTTTTTTTAATTGACTTGAATCTATGAATTTATGATGAAAATTAAGTTAGCCGACATCTAAAAATTTTTAGAACTTTTTTTTTAATGAAAAAATTATTACAAAAAAAATTTTCAATCGTGAAAAACTTTAAGTGCAATTTTTTAAAAATATTTTTTAGCTCTAATTTAATAAATGAAAAAAAATTTTTAAATTAAAAATCTCGGCTAACTTTAGTACTATGGATTTATGTGTAATTAACACTAGTCATACCATGTAATATTGCTGTAAGCTATGTTTGATGAGCAATTTATTTCAAATAAATAAAATAAATAAATTATAGATATATTTATAAGTGCACACCAACTGCTAAGTCAGAAACAACCTACGATGTGTATCAGCTGATATCTCCGCTACTTTTTAAGTTATGTTGTCGTAAAATATGAAAAAATATAAATCGTCGGTTTAATTAGCAATTGATCTAACTCCTTATTTTTTAGAGAGTGATTTTTTAATATTTGGATGCAGCAATAGTCTTATTATAAATAATTTAAATGATCCAAACCAAAATATTATACCTCTATTAGATATTAAATTGTTTTTTAGAGTGATTTGCTAATTAGAACATCGAAATATATATATAAAATAACCTGATAGTTTCAATAAATAACATTAATTTTCATGCCTTAAAAAATAAATAAAAAATCATCATGAAAACGTCTTTCTACACGTATTTTCCCCCTCTTACGCTCAATTTTTACAAGATTGCATAAACTTACCGGTCTTTCATTAGGATCATTGAAATAAATTTTAATAACTATTTCAAATTCTCCCCAACCAGTTTCAGTAACCTCATACGGAGGTTTTGTAACAATTCTATTTTGATTATTATAACTCTCATGGAGTTTAAAGTGTACTTTTTTGACGTACGCCGACATATCCTCATTGTTGTATGGTTTTACATACACAGTCCACTGATGAGTATGACCATCTTCTTCACGTTTTTTACCAAAAAACCTCGCTACATTTCCATATACCAATGGTTTAACAATTGTTACGCCCTAAAATATTCAATAAATTATTATATAGAAATTAATAATACTAAATGGAGGACGATGCTGAATTAAGCAGACATCTAATAATTTTTTTAATTTTTATGACAAATCAATTATTGAAAAAAAAATGTCTGAAATTTTAGAAAAAAAATTTTTTCATTATAATTTAATTATTCAAAAGATCTAAAAAATTTTTACATGTATATTGAATTCAGTATTGTAAATAGAGGTTAAGAATATTACCTTTACTCGACCACCAGAATCTGGGCCGAATTCGTTGGTGGTAGCAACTGCCATTACTTTGAACATTGATTAAATGTTATTTAATTAAACTCATTACTAAATACTTAATAATAATAATAAAAATAAAAAATTGTTTGTTATTGACAGTGACTATTCGACCGATGGTACGGGGGGTACGGAGCACACAGAAAACAGAAAAATGGTTATTTTATAACCTGAAGTTGACAGACATTATAAATTTTTTAATATTTTTATTGCAATTAAATAATTATGAAAGAAAATTTAATGATAAAATTCCACATGTGAGGATTAATGATTAAAAAAAAAATTATTAGTGAAAAATTTTTTTATTGTAAAAATTGAAAGCTATCAGCTAACTTCAGTCTTATGGTAATTTTCACTAATCTTCACGCATGCGCACATGTCATCTATCTTAAGCGCCAAAAAATTACTAGATTCAAATATGTTAACTTTTATCAAGAATATCATATTATCTAACATTGTTATTATATATATATATATAATAGATTTTGAATTAAATCCAGCAATAATGACTGGCTAGTTTATATTTTCAAAGATAGACTCTTTTTATAATTTTGGAGGTTCAAAATGTTGAATCTCTAAAATTTTTTTATAAACTTCTACCTTGTATGTAACTCACGAGTAATTTTCTTTACTTAAAATTATCTGTTATTAGAATTGTTTGATAAATAAAATTAATAAATTCATCATAGATACTTATCAGTTGAAGTATTAATTTTAAGAATTAATTACATTAAAGATCAGAAAATAAATACACTGGTAAAATGTACTTATAAATATTATTTTAAATTTTTTATTATATCAGTAGTTATAATTAGTTTAGAAAAAAAAAAAATTACTAATTAATAATTCAAATTTTGTAATAAAAATAATAAAGAGTTACAAAGCAAATTATTTCCACAATTTTTTAATGGACATGTTCTTTTCAGAATCTTTCTGCATAACCTTTGCGACTGCCATTTCGAAATCTTCTTGAGTAACATGAACTCGGCGTTCACGAAGTGCGTACATTCCTGCTTCAGTACAAACTCCCTGGAAAAAAAATTATCATTAATTATTTAAAATAACAATCTTGACAATAAATAAAATAAAATTACCTTGACTTCAGCACCAGAAGCGCCAGGCATAAGTTCGGCAATTTTTCTCAAATTAATTCCACGGGTCAAATTCATTTTCCGTGAATGAATTTTCAAAATATCAAGCCTAGCTTCTTCATTTGGTGGAGGGAACTCAATTTTACGGTCAATTCTTCCAGGACGAAGTAACGCTGGGTCGAGGATATCAATACGATTGGTAGCCATAATTACTTTGATATTTTTAGTAGCTTCAAAACCATCAAGCTGATTCAATAATTCTAACATAGTACGCTGTACTTCGCTGTCACCCCCAGATCCTGATTCAATACGCGAGCTACCAATGGAGTCAATTTCGTCCATGAATATAATTGAAGGCGCGTGTTCCCGAGCCATCACAAACAACTCACGTACCATACGTGAACCTTCTCCAATGAACTTCTGCACCAATTCAGAGCCGGATACACGGATGAAGGTACACTCGGTGTGATGAGCGACTGCACGGGCCAGAAGGGTCTTACCAGTTCCAGGTGGTCCGTACAAAAGCACTCCTTTAGGTTGGGCGATTCCTAGGGCGTCAAACAGCTCTGGATGCTTGACCGGCAACTCGATCACTTCCTTTATTTCCTTGATCTGCTTATCTAGACCACCAACCATCTCGTAAGTTGAGTCAGGAACTTTTTCAACCATCATCAACGATACCAATGGATCAACTTTATTAGGAAGAATTTTGTGCAGCGTGTAGCTTTCATTTCTCAATGCTACACGTGAATTTGGCGTTACGTCGTTAATGTCAATGTTTTTGTCCAAGTCGACCACGAATTTTCCCTCGGGGTGGACTTTCACGAGGACTTTCTTCTTGTCCATTGGTTTAACGACCTCTCCGACGTAAGATCCTTGCTCTTGGAGGAGTTGTAACTCTTCACGTAACATACGGACTGTAATAGTAAAAATTTTGTTGACAATAATCTTAAATAAAATTAATCAATGATAATGAAGTTATGATAATTACTTAATAAGTTGGGTCACCCCATTTTGCTCTATTTTTTTAAAATTAGATTAGATTCATTAATTTATACCAAGGTACAACAGCCAAATGGCAAATATAAAACAATACAATATTTACAGTGAAGTAGAGTCTTAAAACTAGATTAATCTATATAAACAAAACAAATTTATTATTTCAAGTACAAAAGTACGATAAATACTGAGGAAATTATTGCCAATACAGTTTTCATAATAGTAGTTTTAATATTAATCTTAATCGAGTTAACCGAAAGGTTTTATAGAACATCAATACAAAGTAAACAAAAGTTCATGTTTCAAAATTTAGTTATAATTTTAATTGTTCGTTTTTTTTATGTACTTTTTAAAAAAAAAAAAAAAATATATCAAAAACGTCAAAAAAAGATAAAATTAAAATTTTATCCAAAAACATGAAAGCCAATATTTTTTCCAATTTTTAAAGGCAAAAAAGCTATTGAAATCTTTATTTTTTCCTTTCACATTTATTATCTGACAACTCTTAATTTTTTTTTTCTATTTTTATAACAAATTAATTACAATAAAAGAAAAAGCTTTAATGTCCACTAATAATTTTTTTTAATTTTCACATATGGAATTTTGTAATTAAATTTTTTTCATGTGATTTCATTGTTATAAAATTCTAAAAAAGTTTCTTCTAATATCCATAAATTTCAGTGTTTTGATTGGCTATTGTACTTTTAATTTATGGCTTATCATTTAAAACTTTATAAATAAAATAAAAATAGTTACTTTAAATTATTGATCGCTATCTTTTTATAATTGAAATATTTCGTTTTTTTATTTATTAACTAAAGTTTACTTTTTTGTCTACAAGTTATGTTTAGCATGTAATAATCCTTTAAAGATTATTTACAATAAAATTTTTATGAAAGAAATGTAATTAATAATAATAAAACAAAAAAAAAAAAAATAAATATTGCACAACACTAAATAAAATACAATTCTAATTATAACATGTCCATTGTTAAAAAAATTTAAAAAAATTTTCATAAACCTGATTTTAAATTCAAAAAAATATTAATGTTTACATAAATAATTTACGTATTAAGTATAGATATTTTTAAATAAAAAGCCACATAAATATTTTTAATTTTAGTCGGTTAATATTTATATCATTGTTGGCAACTACTCTTTCATAAAATTAATCATATCAAGAGTGAAAATGTCATAGACATTTTTATATTTACGATTTAAATGATATTATATATTTATATTATAAAATTTTAAATATTAGTTATTAATAAAATAAAAAATTACCCTTGGCATTGAGTTCATTACGCTGAGCTTGTAATCGCCGTAAATTTTGACTTTTCTCCGAAACAATCAGCTGTAATTCTTCAATTTTTGTGATATAATATTGTTTAAATCCTTCACCATTAATAAATTTATTATCGACCTCCATCTGAAACATCAAAATTTTAATAAATAATAGTTTAATAGCGATAAAAAAAAATAAAATCAGAATGACAGACAGAAATATAACCAAACTAATGAATTACATATTTAAAATAAATAAGTAAAGTACATAAAATTAAAGTAAAATTACCTTGTTTAGAAGCGTCATTTTGTTGCTTCTTTGTTGACTTGTTGTTTATAATTGTTATATTATTAGTCTAATAAAGTCAATATATATACTAATTATTCATTTAGCAGATCCCGGACAACAGATGAATGAAGTTATCTGCATATTTCCTGAAAATGCTAGTCATCACTATCATTTTTAGTTTGTATACTCATCCTTAGATGTCACTTGCATTCAAAAACTCTTGATATATGAAAATAGCCTTGATCCTTTAAATTAAAATACATGATAGTCTTGAAGTTAGTCAAAGGTCGAAACTCGCAAAAAAAACGGGCCACGATTCATTATTGGTTAAAATTTAAGCGCGCGCGTAGCGCGCTATTCAAATTTCTAGTATTTTTTAATTTTTGCTCTAACTTGGTAAAAATTAAATTAGCAGACATTTAAAAATTTTTATAATTTATTTTATTGAAAAAATTATTAAAAAACAATTAAAAGAAAAAATTTCACATTTAGAAGATTTTAAAAACTGTACGAGCAATTTTTTTACTTGTAATTTAATTGAGTCGGGTAATTTTAGTATCATTTACTTTTGTCATCGTCAAATAAATTATAAAAATTTTTAATTAATTCATAAAGTCGAAATGAATAAAAAAATAAAATAAAAATTTCTTATTTATAAAGAAGTTATTGACAAAATCGTTTATAAATTTAACAAGTTGTAAATACTCAATAAAATCTTCCTTATCTTTCCTCAAGTTCTTACAAAACTTCATTTTTTTTTTTTTTTTAAAGTAGGAATTTTTAAATTTTAAGCAATAAAATTTTTTTATCCACAATCTAAATGAATTATAAAATTACAGAGATACTTATTATTATAATTTTGAGCATTGAAAAATTAAATTTATGACATAAAAATAGAAAACAAAAAAAACTGGAAATCGGTTGACCCTGAAGGCTATATTGGAAAAAAAATTAACTTGATTCGAATAATTCTTGAACCAAGAAAATAATTTTGAAGAGGGTAATTGTCTTAAATCAAGACGAAAAATTCTTAAATCAAGTGAAATTTCTTTAAATCAAGAAAAATTTGTTAGTTCAATAACTTTTCTACGCAAATCAAGAAGATTAATTATACACTTGATTCAGTACATTTTTTTATTCTGTGCATCCCTTAAACTTCTGGCGAATTTTTTAGTCCAAAACTAACTTTCTTTCGACGGAGTTTTTTAGATACAAAAAAGTATATCAAATATCTCGAGTTAATTAATCAAATATTTTTAACGTTATATGAAAAGAAATTTCTAATAGACTTTTATTTCTTGAATATCTTATATAATGAATCTTTTGTTTATAATTTTAAAGTTTACACGCTAAAGACATGATTGGTTGTAACCGTGTGCTCTCGCATAGGCGACAAAATATCGGTATAGCAGAATTTACAAGAATAATAATTAATTGAAAATAATCAATCTTTTGTCTAACTTGAGAAAATGATCGAAAATTTATTTATCATTACTCAATATTAAATTTAACATATTTTTTTTTTTTTTTTCTAATGAACAAATATATTTTAAATTAACTGAAAAATTATTGGTAATTATTTCAATAAATTACAGAGCGCATTGATAATCTTTGACATGAAAGATAATTCATGGAGTAATCAAATTAAATAAAACAATTAAGTATAAAAAATACTAGCGTTTATTGTAAATCGTTCAATAATTTTTATAAATTAATTCTATTAGTGTAATTAAAATTAATAAAAAAAATGTCGGCGGGTTACTCCGGTGATCAGCAATTTGAAGACACGCCATTACTTTATTCTTCTAGAGAAAAAAAAAGTTTGTATTTTTTTTTATTTATTCAATTATGTTAATTGTTTTAAATTGTATTATACAATCGTTATTAATAATTAACGTGAATTGGTTAAAATTTTATTCAATCAGAAAAGTTTCAAAATTTAAAGATAAAAAATAAAACTATTGAAGGGCTTAAATGATAATTTCATTGGTGACGCGATAAAATATCCGCGGACAAAATAACCACGGACAAAATATTTTGGAAAAAAATATTCTTTGATAAACATACAAAAAATCCATGTTAGAAAGGGCAAAACATGGCAATAATCTCATGTGTTGGTCTAATGTCGAATAAATACACACAAAAATCATGTTAAAAGGGCACAACACGATTTTGAGAATATTTTGTCATCTAATTATTTTGTCGTTCGGTTATTTTGTCGCGGTTATTTTGTCCGCGGTTATTTTGTTACAGCGCCAATTTCATTTGATAGATTGTATAAAAAAATGGTAAATAAATTTTAAACATTTTAATTTTTAAGTTGAATAAAAATTTCTTGAGAAAGAAATTCATATTTTCTGCCCTTTAAAATATAAACGATACCTAAATATAGAATATAATTCAACTTCTCAGTAATTTAAAATTCATTACGGTAATAAGGTATGAACCGTAAAGTGCAAATGGCTCGGCTTTAGAAAATTTTATTTGAAGAACAATAGGTTACTCTATTTCAAAATTTAATGTTTTGAAATAAACTCTACATTATATAGTCTGAAATTACGTAAAAATATTTACACTGCTAATATAAAAAAACTCCTAGTCTCAGCAACTATTTTACCCCTAATTGACTATTGCATTATTGTTTTAATAAATTCAACATATGAAAATGATTGTAAACTTCAACGTGCGTTAAACTCAGCTATTCGCTTTATCTTTCACTTGAAGCGTAACGAACACATCACGCCTTACAGACGTGAACTTGGTTGGCTATCTATTAAAAGTCGCCGTATTTATTATGTTGTTTGCTATTTTTATAAACTTTTAGACATAGAAAAACCTTGTTACTTGCGAGATTTATTCTGTGAAGATCTTACTGTTAGGCATTCTAAAAGATTAGCAGCAAAGAAAAACAGTAGTTTCAAAATGCCGAACTTTGCTACAACTTATTATGAATATTCTTTTGTTGTAACGGTCATACGTCTTTGGTGGGACGAACTTCCAGTTGATATTGTTAACTCGTCTATATAGCCTAGAAATCTTCAAGAATAAACTGTTCGATTACTTATTTAATCTGGATATTTAATCTCTATTGTCTTATTCACTATATTTGGTTAAATCGTTTTATTTGTATACTATTATCAGAACTTAACTCTTATTTTTAACATTGTTACTTAATATGTAAAATCGTTAATATTTATAAATACTTATTATATTAATCTTGTTATTATTTAGGTATAGCAAATAATCATTGTATAATTAACTGTTAAACAAATTTATGTACTTAATTTTTGAATATTGCCATCTGGCCAAATTGGCTTTGGCATAATACTTTTGCCAAATACATAGTACTTTTGACATAAAAAGAGAATAAGAATTATGATCTTTGATTTTAATGCTATTTGTATGTTAAGGTACAATGGTTACTCCGTTACTTAGCTTTTATTTTTCTTGGAAAATAATCAATGAAAAATTGTTTAAATATTACTGAGACAGATGTTTTGAAAATAAAAACGTATATACAAAGAAAAAATTGTTTAAATATTACTTAGACCGACATTTTCAAGATTAAGATATTAACAACCAAATAATTAATTAGAATTTGTTATTTAATTTTCATTGTATGGAATTATCATATTTTTCATCCAGAAGCATTTAAATGATGAATTATAATTTAGCAAATATCTAGCAATTTTTTTTTATTTTAATAATTTATCTCTAAAAGTTAAAAATTACTCAAATGTCTGCTGATTCTAGTAATATTAAAAATGTAAAATATTTTTCAATTTATTTGAAAGTTAAAAAAAAATATCTCAATGTAAAATACAATTGTCCACGTTAAGTATTTCGAAGAAAAATTCCTGGAAGAATTTATATTCAATTACAAGTCTAGACAAATAAAAGTAACTATTGTATTGAAATCATAGTTCGGCATCGGTACTTTTTCAAGATAATAGACATACATTTACATACCTAGACCTTATTAACAGGCTCATTGCTTATTAATTACCTTCAGGCACCAAAATTTAGCATATGCGATTTTGCCATATCTCGTTAGGTCCCTTAGTAGAAGCTCCTTCAAGATGACTTGTCATCCCTTCTCTAGCCTTACCTACGTCCCTCTCTACTAAGGACCAAGGTACTTTTTTCATCCAATCAGAGTCTTTTCTTCCCTTCTTCCCCAGTTAAATTTCAGTTTTGCGATAAAATTTCACCATTTTAGTCCCCAGGCCCAAATTTACCCCTACCATTGCAAATTTTCACAGACGAGCCCTTAAATACCGGGCTTCCTGCGTTGTAGAATCAGTTTTTCTGAGATTGTTGTCCTCAACACTTCAGAGAAGTTAAGATTGTACTTCTTACAACTTAACTTGATTGCAGCCCTTACAATTTTATTAGTCGACGGTGATTTTTTTTTAACTAGCTCTTGTCTTTATACTTGTTATAATTTCAAATTTAATAGTCGAGTCTTAGAATCAGTGTTTTAATCAGCAGCGAGTCAACCAATCAACATTAAATAAGAGTATAACTTTCAAATTAATTAAAAAATATTTTTTATTATTTGATTATTTAAATTTGAATATAATCTAAACGTTTATTTTGTTTTTCGCAATATATTTTTCAAGTCTAGTTGATTTTTATATAATTTTATATTTATTGTAAATTTAGTTAAAGTTAATTAAATTCCTATAACATTCAACATTTTTTTCGAATTAAAAATTTTCCATAAATGTTTAAAATTTTATTTGGAATTAAAATTAAAAACTATTTAAAGAATATTTGAGTAATCATATTGATTTAGTTTTTATAAATAATCACTGTGTTTGTGGTTGCTCATGAATCATTTCATAAATTTCAGCATCGTTTAAAAATTATAAAAAATTGTAATTTCAATCGCACGGTATCTCTGTACTATGCTGATAATGTCATAGTTACTTAGTATAACGTGCAACTGTGATTATTGCTGCTTCATCATTATTTAATAACAATAATTATAAATAAATTGCATCTTTTCGCTAATAACATTAAGCATGTGAATTTTAATTAATAATTTAAAACATTTGTAACTTCAGTCACCAGTTACTGGTAGTACTGTATGGATAAAAGTATAGTAATTCATTGTAACTGTGTGTTTGCGGTTACTTGATCATCGCTTCATAAATTTCAGCATCATTCAGATCTTCTTCATCATTATTTAGTATAAATAATTTTTAATCAGTCATAGTAATAGCGATAACTTGGCATCATATTTTTGATATCATTCATTAATAAAATAACATTGTAATAATAGTTATTCCAGTTACTCAGCATAAGTTGTACTATATATATCGATGGAAATTTAGTATTTCTGATACTGAGTGATCGGGATAACTTTTTCATCGACTGAAAATATTCATAAGCATTTATTGATATTTTTAAAATTGTTTAATTAATTATTTACTAAGAGATAAAAAATATTTTTACTAAAGAAATCTCTTCATTTAATTTTATATTTAAAAGTTATTGATTTTTTTTAAATTAATATTTAAAATGAATTTTATTAATGATATTTTAATATTGGTAAAAGTAATTTTAATTGAAATTAATTTAATAATTACTCAGATAAAATATTTTAAATCTTCTCTTAAGTAACCATAGTAGCTTCAGCAGAATTAATTAATCATGACTATCACAATCTTAAGAACTAGGTACGGGTTGTACGTTATTTAGAATAAAATACAGTACACCACGTACTCAGTAGTTACGATTGCATTTTCATCGCTTCAATAAACTTCAAACTCCGATTACTTGGTATAGCTTGTACTATACGGATTAAAGTATATAGTAAGGCACTACCGAGTATTTGCAGTTGCTTTTTCACCGCTTCAACATTGTATGATCAATACATTGCATTTTATCAATTTAATAATTTTCAGCGCTGAAAAGAATTTTAAAATAGTAATTTCAGTTACTTGGCACAGGTCGTACTATATTTAAATAAAAATAAGTACACCTAGTGCTGAGTAGCAGGGGTGACTTCTTCATCACTTCAATATATCTCATCGCTTAATTTTTGCTTTTAATCACTTAAAATAAGTATCTTCAGTGTATTCATTGATTTTTACAATCACAATCGTAATTACTTGGTATCAGTTGTACTGTGTGCAAAATTGAACATAGTATTTCTGGTACTGAGTAACCATGGTTGCTTCTTCATCGCTTCAATTTATAGTTTACATTTTGTTTGACCAGAGCAATTATAATTACTTATTATGACGTATTTTTTTGTATAATTTTTTAAATATAATTCAGTATAATAATAAATCACTTATATTTGCTTTTTATCATTTTATTTTTAGTATCATCTAATAACATCAATCAATTGTAATCCCAATTACTCAGTACAGCTTGTACTATACAGATTGAAGTATATAGTACTGCGTTACTGAGTATAGTTGTCGTTGCTTTTTCATCGCATTGACAATTTCATTTTCAGCTACATTCATTGATACTCAATAATTTCATTCGCAGTTATTTAGTACGAGTTGTACTATGTATAAAATTAACATACAGTACTTCCTGTACTAAATAATTGTGTTTAATCATCACTTCATAAAATATAAATTGAGTTATCAAAATTAATTAAAAGTGATCCCGATTACTTGATGTGACCTTGTTAAGTTATTATGGTGACTTCATCATCGCTTCATAATTTTTCAGCATAATTTATTGGTACTCAAAACTTGCAATCGTAGTTCCTTGGTAAGGAACCTACTGTATTATAAAAATAAAATAGAGTACGTCCATTACTGAGTAAACATGGTTGCTACTTCATCATTTTAACCATTAGTAACATTCAACTACAGCAATTACAATAACTTACCATATGCGGCTGGTATATCGTATAGTTTAAAATATAATTGTATAAATAAATAAGTCGCTTATTTGCTTTTTATCATTTCATTTTCAGCATCATCTATTTCATCTATTAACACTACTCAATTGTAATCCCAATTACTCGGTACGGCTTGTACTATACAGATTGAAGTATATACTGTATAGTACTGCGTTACTGAGTAGTTGTGGTTGCTTCTTCATCGCTTCAGAATTTTTTAGCATCAATTATTGATATTCAATACACGGAGAGAAATTTATAGGAATCTTTCCAACAATTATGGAAATGGATCCTATAATAAAATTATCATTATAGGCATTAATCCTAATATACTCATTATGGGAACCATACCCATAATTTATTGGAAACGTTCCTATACAATAACGGAATAGCTTCAATATATTATGGGAATGGTTCCTATAATATTATAGGAATGGTTCCTATAATATTATGGGAATGACGCACATAATAATAGAAAAAAGTTTATTTTCTTAATAATGAAGCAATCACTTCAAAAATATAAAGTAATTATTATGTATTTTTTTGCTAATAAAATTGTTTTTTGTAAATAAAAATTGATCTTTCACTAGAGTGAAAAAATTTCTTTTTCATAATTTTTATTCACGTGTGAACTTAATCTTGAATTATTTATTCCAGCTCAGTTATTATTGTGCTAAATAATATTGAAAAATATTGTAGCAATTTCAAAATTTCTCCAATAAAAAGGATATTTTCTCACTATACAATTGTAAGAGCAAAATAGATATGGAAATTCATTGTTTATTTCCACAATTTCATTTTATTTTTAAAGCAAATTATTTACAATACATACGTTGAACCGCGAAAACATTTGAAAATTTGGAATGTCAAAACAATTGGAAATTTTATTTTATTTAAGAAATTTTTTTTTTAATTAACTTTTTTTTTAATTAATTTTATTTTAATTTACAAGCATATA